GAGAGGGCTGTGTTTTCACAGATGCACAGCTAACGGAAGTTGATGCATTCGTCATGCAGTGATTTAACTGGATGCTTGGTTTCAGGTGGCAGAATAGAGTGAGCAGAATTGATATGGGATACAGAAGGGAAATGTGACTGGCTTCCTTCCATCCTATGTGGTTTATTTCCCATTCCCTCATCAGGAAGTTTATATAAACTTAGTATTAGGCTAAACTGTTCAGATTGTGACCTGTGCCTCTCCTCTTTAGTTTCACTGCTGGTGTCAGGGTGGTGAGTGACATGTAATCTCTTGCTTCCACTTGTTTAACCAGACCCATCCTGTGATACATGTTGGTCTCTTCTGTAATTGTAGTACGCTAGTTGTAGTTTCAAGGCTGTTTGCGGTGACAATTCTGTTGATTTGGCAGATTTCTGTGATGAGGGTAAGAGGTGGAACTAGTCTAAATTATAAGAAAAATCAACAAAAGAGAAGTAAGAGTAGGGGAACAGGGCAAAACACTGTACAAATGTGCAACACATAGGTTGGGGAGGCAAGACAGAATGTTATATGGGAGAGGAAGGTAATAGGGTGAAGCAGGATAAAAGATTATTAGGCACTTATTGGTATGTTTTGCAGAAAACAAATGTTCTTAAAGGATTGGGTCAGAACATGGTGATGTTATGCAATCAGGATATTTAAAACTTTAGAAAATGGAAAATGGAAAAACTTTAGAAAATAGAAACTACAATGGTAAGAGGAATAAAGGAAGGTTTAGTAAAATAGGTAGATACAAAATTGAAATTATACAGCCTGTGTAGTTCAATTCTCACATCAGGTAGAGCTTGGATTGAAATGAAAAACAGAAACAGTAAAAGAGAGATCATTGAGCAGATGTTATAGATTTCCATGGAAGAGTGAGAAAGAAACAAGAAATATTAATACAATTACAATAGCCCTATTGAAAAGATGAGGCATTGATCATCAAGAAATTCACATAAACTGGCATTGACTGGTCAGCGTAATATAGAAAGTAAGTAATTTGTTCTTGAGCAGGTACAGATCATAGCAGTGAAAGTGACTGTAGGCTGCATTCATAAGGAAAATTTGAAGACGCTAGGCTTATTCACAGTAACAAAAGAAAATTGTGCTAACCTAATTCCAGCTTTTGTTGTGCAGAAGGTACCAGTATTGATGGCAGAACAAATTACTTTCACTGTCAAACATGAAAGCAAGTTACACATGATGCCACTGTGTTGTGCTACTCTGTTACCGTCAAGTCTGCAATCTCTAAGGGGTATCGTACGTATCAGTTCAGAGTCCATTTCCGTTCACCGTTGCAATTCCCATGAGTTGCCCCAAGTCTTCTCCTCTAGAGAATGTTATGTGCTGCTGCTTTTGCCCTCCCTCATGAGACCATCCAAGGAGATACAACATCCCATCATTAAGGCTAATAGAAAACCTGTACGTTATCCCACCCGTAGAAATTCCCTGATGTGCAGCATAAAGGTATTGGGCTAGATCCTCAGCTGATGTCAATAGGCGCACCCCCACTGAAGTCAATCGAGTTATGCCATTTTAGACCAGTTGAGGATCTGGTCTATTGTCTTCGGTTTCCTGGATATATTTGCAAATGCTCAGCATCTCTCAGGATTTGGCCCAATAGCAGAAATAATCTTAAATTGCTATAAAAGCATTTAATGGGCAAAAGGCAGAACTTTCAGAGATAGGGACTGTAGAACTGATAAATGTACTGGGTCCAATAGCTATAAGCTATTTGGGGTGTGTGGGTGGGGGGTTAAACAAATAGAGTGCTTTCATCTTTCCATTTCTAAACAGAACACCATGTGGGGCATGTAAAATATTAATCTTTCTGCAAGATGATTTCTTGTGAAGGCACTTTATGGATAAAAGACAGAAACCAGTGATACAGCCCCGCTCCCTGCTGTATTGATGTCTGTAGCTGTATTGCAAATGGAAATCCATCCCTGTCATCATAGTACAGTAAGCACTCCCTGACAACAGGATCCATACTGCACTCGCCTTGGAAAGATTGTTTTGTTGCAAGAATTGATCGGATTAGAACTTTTTCCAAAATGACTTAACATAAAATGTGGTGAGTTTGTTCTGGCAGCTCTGACGCAGGCAGGCTGGGTCCCTCCTGCTGTGTAGTCTTTCTTTTATCGTTATTCAGGAACCCGTAGAGGATGAAGCCTTTTGCATATTTTCATCTACTCACTAATTATTCGTGCTGGTTTGAGGTTTGACGCTACAGTATAGAAAGGAAAACCAATCACTGCTTATTAGTGTTTGTTTTCATCTGTGGTAATTTCAGCATAGACTTCAGCTGTATATCCATGCTTGCCTTTTTCTCCACCCCAGAGTACCCATGTGTCCCTGAGTAAAGGAATGTCCCTTTTCCTCAATATCTATCCCAGTGTCCCTGTGTGTTTTACAAAAAACAGACATCTCCCCCACTTTATGTAAACCCCGTCAAACTCTGGCCCTCCAAAGGAGTCAGAAGCTAGCTGAGCCAATGAAATTGACAGCAGGTTAGCTGAGAGCATGTGTGCCTCACTGACCAGGTCTGTTGTATGTCAACCCCATGATATACCCTCCATGAGACGCCCCACTCCCCCCCCCCCCAGTGAAATCTCCCATTCGCATAGTAACAGATCCATGTGGAATCAAAGACACTCTGAATCCTGGCAGTGCTATGAGTTGTGAGCCTACAGGCTGGTCAGCCTCCACCATCCACACAGGGCTACTGACCTGGCTGGGCCAGCATGTGAATTAGAGACAAAGAATGTGTGTGGTGGAATGAGAGAATGAGGGGAGTAGAAAAGCAGAGAAGACTGAAGGGTACAGAGAGAGCAGGATTGGGTAGAGGAGAGAAACAGGAAAAGGCCAAAAGAAAAAACAAAACATAGAAGGTATAAGAACAGAAAGCCCAAGTGGTTTGAGGAACTTAGTAGGAACAAAGAAATAAAAAAGGAAACAGAAGAAATACACTAAGAGCCAGAATAAATAAATGTAGCCTTATCTGCAGAAAATGCAGTAAATGGATGAGGGCTAGAGGACTTGGAGAAAACAGTAGAGAGGACACAGAAAACTACTGTTCTTTCACCCACCTGTTACTGACTGTACACGTTAGGTTTTATTCTGAAAGAGGAAGGGTGACCTGGGAGGAGGAGGAGAGAAGTGTTCCATGGCTGAGGAAGTGGGAGAGGAAAAATTGAACACACTTTCCTCTTTTCCATCCCTCCCTCCCGCCAGCTGCCAAAACCTTGGTGTGTGCACCTCACTGACACCCATCAAAGCTGTCTGCTGCATCGTCCCTCCCCACCACAAGATGCATCTTGGTTTTTCATACTGAAATATATATTCTAATGAAGCAAAATAAAAATCCTCAGGTACATATTCCAGTTGGTTGCACATATCTGGAAAGAATGGATCAACTGGATGTACAGCAATGCTTTAATATCTCAGTGTGGTTTAGTCGTCTTATTTCCAGGGCTATGTATGTTTCAGGGCCCTTCCAAATTTTCTCCAAAACCTCTTCTTTTCTCATCTCCAGGCTTCTGACTATTTGTCCTGCACACTCTGTGTGTTGTTGGCCACAGTCATCACCAATGTTTAACCACATTAAGTATTTTCCTACCTCTTATTCTTTCTATAGACTCACTATATTTATCAAGTATCAGAGGGGTAGCCGTGTTAGTCTGTATCTGTAAAAAGTGACACAGAGTCCTGTGGCAGATTATAGACTAACAGACGTATTGGAGCATAAGCTTTCGTGGCTGAATACATCTGACGAAGTGGATATTCACCCACGAAAGCTTATGCTCCAATACATCTTTTAGTCTATACGGTGCCACAGGACTCTGTCGCTATATTTATTAAATATGGGGAAATGCTACTATACTTCAGATACAGTGACAGTGGGTAAATGTTGACTTTTACAGGTGTGCTACATGCTTCTGCCTTGCATCTTTTCCTGCATCAAACACTTCCATAAGTACAGTCTCCATACTACGGTCAGCACGCTGCTGTCATTCTTCTCTTTGTGTTTAATTATGCCATCTTAAAGAGGAACTGAACATTTAACAGAAGTTGCACATTCATGGAACTTTATTGTATTTTTTTGATTCAGGAGTAAATATTGAATCGTTGACGTTTGGGTTTGAAATTTACCTGAATATGTTTTACTATTCCTATTCCCCACAGATTACACAATGGCACTGATTAGCAGAAGCGTTTTGTAATACCACTTAAGGCTTTATCACAGTGGAGCACTGCCAGTAATAGTCTTTAATTCACTTATATGTACCAATCCATCTCTGTCAGGTTTCTATTAATTTCTTCCCTGTTTTACTCTGTCCCTAGCCCCTATATAATGAGGCATGAGGTCTTCCATTTATGGAAAATATATATATATATATATTTTAAATCTCAAGCAAATTGCTTTTGCTCCTGCTTTGCAAACAACTGTGCCATCTTCACATTTATTTCACGTTTAATCCACTTTTCGCAAGTTAATTTATTTAGAAGAATATGTGTCGGTCAAGAGGCCAAAGAGGCAATAATATTTTTATTAGCTAATTTAGATGAAAAGTTTGAAGATTAGGTTAGATATTTAAGCCTGCGTTGTGGTTTTAACACAAACCTTTAGTAGAGATGTATTTCTAAAATATTAGATCTGTGTATGATTAAAACTGTGTTTGTGCACATATACACAAACAGCACTTACCAGGAATACTTGTGAAAAATTGCAGCCTGTTCTGCAATAATCTGTTGTCAGAGTGCGGAATGATAACATGACTTGTTTACAAAGATGCATGCCAAAGGAATAGAACCTAGAGATTTCTGCTTGCATTGGAGTTCTACTGTCTTGAAATATACATATAGTTATAACAGCTGAGAGATGTTTTTAAAATTTTCCTTGATGCATCACTGGTTTGCTGTCATTGCTGGAGTAAATCCAAATGTGTTGTCTTTCTTTGTTTCTTTCTAATGATTAGGATTGGTGCAAAACATCAGGAATTACGGCAAAAGCAGGCAAGAGGGCTTGCTGATTACTCCACAAGCCCTGTAGGTCCACCACCTGATGATGATGATGATGATGATGAGATGGACCCAAATTATGCCAGAGTGAATCACTTCAGAGAGGCTTACCCAGCAGCAAATGTCTACAGGCCATCGTCTCCACCTGTAGCAGAAACCTTTGGATACCCACGGGATATCCCTTCAGTATCAGGAGAGAGGGAACATTTGGAAGGACTGTATGCAAAGATAAACAAGCAGCACCATCCCCAGACGTCTGCTGACAGGTAATACTTCCCAATGGCTGCAGATCACCTGATTTTTCAATTTCACGTGCACTTGTATTTACCGAATAGAAAAAAATGGTTTTACTCTTGATTTACATTGTTTTAACCAAGAACAGCCTTTGCCCCAACAGCACCCCTGAAGGGTCTACATAAAGCAGCAGACAAATAAAAATCATTATAGAAAGGTCCATATTTCACAAACAGAATGAATGAACTGCCTCCTATCCAATTCCTATGCTGCTGAGAAAGTGTTTTTTTCTCTTTTAGACAGGAAAAGTTCTTCTTCTTCAGCAAAACTCTGACTTTTGGTCCTGATGATCACCCAGTGCCCATTCGTAACGGGTTTTTTTGTGATAGTGTGATATATTGCATATGTTTACAGTTTACATTTCCCCAGCTGTGAGATATTATGCACTTTCAATTAGGTTGGGGAGAGAACTGGGAATCATGGCATTTTATGCAGACTGTAAAGTGTAGCTTCACAAGACTGATTACCTTTCACAGCCTTTCCAATAACCAAGTGAGAAAGAAGGAGCAATTTTTAATCCTTACTGTCAAGCTTCCGGGTTGATAGCATTAAAGAAAGATGGTGAAGTTTTTCTTTGAATTAAAAAGAAAACCCTGTGACTCAGTGATGCAGCCATCACTGTGAGGTTTCTAAAGCTGGTTACTTCTGGAGGTAGGGGGTATGAAAAATATATGATTTCATTAGTGTCATGGTGTTAATAAATGTACATGGGATTTTTCTGGCCAGTATGTGACTGTGCAAGGAAGATGGGTGAATGGACATTAGAGGAATTGGGAATATGGGATGGGGGAGCAGTTTAAATATTAGTGAATGAATCTTGTACTGTGGCTTGTAATGTGGTTCCTCACTGCCACATTCTATGCTGGATGTGTTTGAGAGGCTGTGTGAGCATAGACTTGGGAGAGTTTTGAGTTTGTAGAGATACAATACTTTGGATATGTCTTAGGCAGGGCCAGGCCACAACATTTTGGCACCTGAGGCGGGGAGCTCAAATGACGCCCCCATGCCCCCTCGCTTGGGCCAAAACTTAGAAAGGTCTCAATTCTGCCTTCTTCCTGTTCTACTCCTCTAGTGGTACTGCTCTGCTACCTACCCCAATAAAGGAGAACTAACAACTTAAAATGCCTCGTTCAAAAATTTTAAGTAACACTTAACTTTCAAATGCCTGAACAGCAAATGTAACTTTTCTTGTCTGCATAGTAAACACTGGCATTTTTATCTGTTTGAATAACCAAAGTGGTGCCTTCTTGGTTGCAAAGATTTGAACTGCTTCCTGAAGGTCCACAGTCTGGGCCAGCTCATGCTCTATTGAGATGGTTGCAAGGCAGACCAGCCTCTCCTGTGTCATTATGAAGTATAAATGTGTTTTTATTAACTTCAGCTTGGAGAAGCTGCGTTCTCCACTGGCAACTGTTACAGGAAGTGTTAGAAGTATGCGCAGAGCAACAAAAGCATTTGGAAAGAGGGTGGTCATCTTATTTGTGCACATATATTCCAGAATAGCCTTTGGAGTTGATCCT